TTAAGAAGTACAAATAGGTAGATACAGAATAGTCATGGGGATGTAAAGTACAGTATAGGAAATAGAGTAGCCAAAGAATTTATATGCATGACCCATGGACATAAGCAATGGTGTGGAGATTCCCTGAGGGAGTCGGGGGCACTGGGTGGAGGGAAGCAAAGGGAGAGAAATCAGGACAACTACAATAGCATAATCAATAAAATATAATTTAAAAAAACAAAAAAGGAAGATGTGTCCCACACATGATTAGCTTCGGTTATGTGCAGGAGTGCTCTGCGTCCTTCCCAGTGTGGCATCTGGAAGAGTCCTCGGTGTTTCTTTTCTTTCATGACCTTGAGGTTTATGAAAAGTGTGCCATACATGGAGGCACATGACCTTGGGTTGTCCCATAACTAGTGGTATTAATTTTCATTACATCTGTAGACATTTTAAGGAAATTTTATATTTATAAATTCTACTAGTGTAGTGTTCTATTTAAGTCTGTCCTTGATAAATAATGATTTTTTTAAATGTTCTTGAAATTGCTTTATTGATGTGTATATACAAGGCCAGTAACATCATCCAAATCACTTAACAATGATTAATTAAGAGCAATGTCAGTGAAAAACAATTTACATTATATTCAACTCCCCTAAAGTCAACTAAAGCTCTAATTTTCTTCTGGTTTAGCTGTCTCTCTTACCTACCTTCCTTGTGCTTTTGTCATTTGTGGTCTTTGGAAGCACTTTTTCATTGCTAAGATACTTTCATATATTCTTAAGCTTAGTACCCTTTATTTATGAGTTCAGTTTAACAAAAAAAAAAAAAAAAAAAAAACCCTCTCTTGTGAGAGACACTTCTCTCTGAAGCCTCTCCAGTTGAGCACAGAATAACCAAATATAGAATGCATTCCCTGTATAGATAGAGACTGCAGGCTTCTTTCCAATTCAAATCCCATGGAAATTATTTTAAAAAGGCAAATACTCAGGGGGTTTAATGTGTTCTAGAGCTAAAAGTGGAGACTTCCTGCATTGTCATGTTTTGCCAGAGGCAAGCAGAAGGGGAGCTAACAGTAAAACCCTGGCTTACCTTTGTGAAGCCTTCTACCCAGCACTTTTACAGATGAGTGGATTCAGGTGGTGATTTGCTGGGTTTCTCCAGAGTGAAATTACTATTCCTCTTTTTAAAAAAAAAAAAAAAATTAGTATGCATTTTATGGGGAGATTATTAGATTACTTGAGATCTTATAATTATTGTTTCTCATCTGAGTTTCACCCACTAGTGTTAGCACCTGGGGATCATTCTTGATTGAAAAAATTGATTCTATGTCAGATGCCAAATGGTGGTTTTCTAAGTCTATCATTTCTTTTAAATTTATTAGTTGGAACATTAGTTCTTCTGTAAAATGAGGCAAATAATGTGCCCTGTCTAATACACAAGGTTGTTGAGAGGATCAAATATGTCCCAAGACACATTAAACTCCTTGAGTATTTGCCTTTTTGAAATAATTTCCATGGTATTTGAATCACAATGAAGCCTACAGAATCCATTCAAGGAATATTTACTTATTTCAGTATTTTGTTGTTAAATATTCCATATTTAGTTATTCAGTAATTCATCAAGGCCAGACTTAAGCAAAACACTATACTAGTTGAATTTATAAATATAAAATTTCCTTAAAATTTATAAATATTAAAATTGAATTTATAGATATAAAATTTCCTTAAAATTACATATGTAGACAAGTAACATGTAAGAGTTAGTTACATCTTCTCAAAATTATACATTTTAATGTATTTATACCTTTGGGAAGGGGAAATCCTGCTACATGGACATTGATTTTCAACAAATCAGTAACCCCTACACAGGAAAGATTTGGGGAAACTATACCAAGTTATTAAGCCAGGAGAGCCTAAAAAACTTGACTGCTTTAAAAATAATCATAGCCATACCACAAGAATCAGCTAGTGTGCCCAAACCTACCATATTTTAACATTTACCTCTGACTAATTTTTATCAGTTGACAATTCTTTTAGTCTTTCTATCTTTCTTTAGCTAAAAAGCTCTTGTCAGGGAAAAAAAATGAAAGCAGAACTTAAATTTCCTAGAGAAGTGAAGAGATATATTACATCAAGTTATTTTTTATCTTAAATGATCTGTTCCTTATAAAGCAGTAGAAATAAAATTGTGTGCATGTGTGCACACGTGCATATGCGTAATTCTGTGTGTGTTTACGCTCCTTAATAGGAGAAAAATATTTATATACACAGGGGGAAAACTAGAAAAAATTACCAAAGTATTAAGAAGCAAATGTGATCATCATTAATTTCTTTTAATGTTGAGGGACGGGGGCGGGGGTGGGGAGGATGCCACACGTGTCTCTGTTTGCCCCTAGTCTGGGCGGCAGCTGCTGAAGGGGAAGTGAAGGGGGGAAGCGCGGTGCTCCAGGATCTGAGGGTCACTGTCTTGGGCCAGCTGAGATGGGAGCGTGGACTCTGAGTCCCGCAGAGCCCGTCCCGAGGGTGTCGTGGATGGGGGGGAAATAAACACCAGTGGTTGCAAACACTTCTCTGTTTGCCGGGAGAGGGGATGTGGCTCTTCCCTCTGGTGGGGAAGGCCCTGAGCCCTTTTGTCCAAAGGCTTTTATTGAAAGGGTTATCAGTGGGGCTGGGTGGCAGGCGTGCACAGGTGATCTCATTACATCAGTATGTTAATGTTCACAGAGAATAGATGATGTTTTGAAGAAAACAAATGGCAGGGACACACCTATTTACATGGGTCCAAGAAGAGACTAGTAAACAAGAGAGGTTAGTAAACATGAAAGTGTAGTAAACATAAGAGTGCTAAAGGGTATAAGGTTAGGGTCTGTGAATAATGTAAATTTCCTTCCCAGCATGAGCTGACTATCCTAACTTTTGAGGGCGAAACAAAGCATGGTTAAAAGAATTTACTTTTAGGCCTGATTTCCCTTGGGACCCGCCAGATCCAGTTTAGGACTGTCTTCAGTATTGTTTTGAGCCTGAGCCAGGTGGTGGGGAGGGAGCCACTAAGAGACAAGGAGACTTCTTTCAGATAGAATGAGGACTCGGGCCATGTCCAAGCTGAGCTGAGGGGTGCGGGCCTTTTTGCCCTTTCTCTGTGTCCCCCAAGTCTTTCTCCTGCTGCTGCCCCTACAGGCCAATGTCTGCCTTAGGTTGTTTCTCCTTGTGAGAAAACTTACCTGTCATCAACAATCGACCATCACAGGGCCAAGCAGGGTGATGCGAGGGAGGCAGGGGAACAGGTTTCATCTCCTCAGTGGCCTGTTTTCCTAAGGCCTTCTTGATTATTTCCAGCCTTGGGGCCCTCTCACCTATTGGCGGGGCTACAGTTTCTGAAACCAGACAGGGTATTTCGCAACATTTTAAGTTTTTTCTCTGTTTGCAAAATATTCTTTTTACCATGAGCACAAGTCATTTTATAAGCAGGGGGAAAAATGAGCGATTTTTGTATGTGATTCAAAAATCATGTCAGAAAATCGTTATTAAAGAAAAGAAAGTCAAACAAAGTTCATAAAACTTTTGGCCTTGCAAGACTTTTGGAACTCAATGTCTATAAACAGCCAAAATTCCAGAAGCATCCATGGATCTTCCATCCATTATCCTCTATCTAGGAGGCACTTAAGACCTCTCTTGATTCTAAGGGTGCTTTTAGATCAAGAGTAAAGATTTGCAAATGTAGGACAAAGTGAGGAAACTTTCTGAGGCATGGGGGAAGGGAATAAGGTCTTTCTTACAAATGTTGTTCTCTGTGGCCTCTCTTCCTTCCACAGTCAGAGAAAGCCAACGCAGGTCCCACCAAGGCTGCTCCTCTGTGGGGTGGGCCCTGACAAACTCCTTCCCGGGGGCCGCCCTGCAGCTGTGGATTAGGAGGCCTGGGCTGCCTTGATACTCAGACCTGAGTCAACAGGCAAACGCCCTACAGTCCTTGCTCACTTCCCCCTGCCAGTTGGCTTGCTCTTCCCAGACTATCAGTACCCACAGTAAAAGAACAAACATTGCATTATACATGGAATTTATGTCCTAAGATAGTTTGAAATCTTTCCCTGTGACACTTTTGATATTGCACTTCCAAATTAATATTATGTTTGTTTTCAATGATACAGTTACCTGATTCATCCACAACTTTAATTTTATAACCAAACCCGGTACCATAGTTAGTGAGACTTTCAAGGTAGCATATACATTCAAATGATCAAGACTATAAAATTAAAATAGTAGTGTTTCTTTAACATTTACTTTTAACCCAAAAATAATCATGGGAGTTCTAAATTGCTGGAGTTAGTGTACCTAATAAAATTTTCTTAAATGTTTTTAGAAGTGATTTGTGCTCAAAGGAGATGTAGATGCAGGCTTCTGAGGACAAGGGAAAGGAAGCCCTCTGCCTGATTGATTTCAGGCCTGACATTGTCTCTGGCCGGACAAACTTAGTCTTCCAGGTCATTCTCCTGCACCAATAGACAAAGCTTCAGTTTTAAAGTATGAATTTTCTTTACCTTGTCCTTTGTACATGGAATTTTTTTTTTCCTCACAGGAAGCTGGAATCCAGAGAGGACAGAATCTGAGTATTATTGATTCTGGTTTGAGATTCTGTACCTTTGGCCATCATCTCTCTTTCAATCTCTTCCCATTCACTTCACCTTCTCTCAGTGTGCTCACTGGTGGCCTCGCTCTTTTTGGTAACAGTCTAACAGGAGCTCTCTCTCTCTCTCTCTCTCTCTCTCTCTCTCTCTCTCTCTCTCTCTCTCTCGCGCGCGCACACACACACACACACACACACATTTTCTGTTACTTGGTTAGTTTTTGCATTACTTTAGAGGAGTGGTTTAGCACTTAAATGGCTCATCTGCCCAACCAAATAAGAGTTATTTTTTAAACTATCCACTGAAATGCATTAAAATATCACAAGGTCATCCATCCTGGGTTATATTTAATGCTTTGATGGTTCTAATTTGAATTTTATTTTGAATTTTGCACACTCAGGACAACATCTTATTCTATTGTTCAAGAAAGAAGTGACCTTGTCGTGTACAGGAAAACAATGCTGTTTTGGATGTTAGCCCTCGTAATCCTTTGGGGTATTCTGTGGAATTATAAAAGACAACTAAAGATTTCAGACATCACTGATAAGTATATTTTCATTACTGGATGTGACAAGGGCTTTGGAAACTTGGCAGCCAAAACTTTTGATCAAAGAGGATTTCGTGTAATTGCTGCCTGTCTGACGGAATCGGGATCAACAGCTTTAAAGGCAGAAACCTCAGAGAGGCTTCACACTGTGCTTCTGGACGTAACCAACCCAGAGAACGTCAGGCAGACTGCCCAGTGGGTGAAAAACCACGTCGGGGAAAAAGGTAAATTATGTGGGGATAGGGATGATGAAAGGGGTGTGGTGAAGAAATTAAAACTAAGTAAAATGCGTTTGGGTATTATATAGCCTTTCAAAAAAAGGCCTCTTACTAAACACCAGCTAGACATTGGGGAAGATTGGAGAAATCTTCGGGGAGCCCCTGAGTAGTTCCTGGTTGCAAACTCTTCATGTGCATGGAAGACACAGCCCAAGCGAGCCTCAGTCTCAAGTCCCAGTGGGTGAGTTGAGAAGTGAGATGGAGGTTTGACTTTTCCTGGTCTTCTCCAGTGAAGCCACATACACACCAAAGGAACTAGGGGCTAAAATCTGCAGGAGAATATGGGAACAATCCCCAAATTGCCATCTGGATATCCGAGACCTCCTTCTCACTGTGAAATGGTTCTAGAGCTTATACATTTTCAATGGGAAAGGCAGAAAATGGCCTGAGAATTTGAGTACAGGTGTCTTAGGTAGCCATGCTAGAGCAGTGAGCCATTGGACCTCATTCTGCATTAGATTCTGCTAAGACGGCAGCATTCTGGACTAGAGAGTTTTAATAAGACAAGCAAATGATAGGACTTTTTACCAAAAATAAATGTGAAGTAAATTGAAGTTGCTTTTTGTCCATGTAGAACAATTTATCAATATTCTTTGGCCTTGCCATCTAGCAACATAAGAAAAATAGACTAATTTACTTTACATCTGAGATTAAAAAGCAAAAAGTCTCACTGAATATCAGCATTTGACATTCAGAGCCAGAAAATAGAATAACTGTGATACTGGCTTCTAATAAGAGAACATCAACTATTTCAGTCTAGCCCCCCACACTTTCTGATATCACTTCCCAAAACTGCACAGTGTTTCAAAGCAGGAGTATGACTCAGGAGGAAATGGCCCCACGGTGTAAGGCAGAAGCTGTATTTCCATTAAGTATGCTTCTACCACATTTCTTCTCTCCACTCTGTTCTAGGTCTCTGGGGTCTGATCAATAATGCTGGCGTTCTCGGCGTGCTGGCTCCCACAGACTGGCTGACAGTGGAGCACTACAGAGAACCTATAGAAGTGAACCTGTTTGGACTCATCAATGTGACATTACATATGCTTCCCTTGGTCAAAAAAGCTCAAGGGAGGGTTATCAATGTCTCCAGCATTGGTGGTCGTCTTGCATTAGGCGGAGGAGGCTATGCTCCATCTAAATATGCAGTAGAAGGCTTCAATGACTGCTTAAGGTAAAGCAAACATTGATATATTAAGACATAATAGCTGCTAACATTTATGGAGTGTTTATTGTGTACCAAACACTCTATTTATTGCTCTAAATTATTCCCAGTTTACAGATGATCACATCATTTTGCTGTGTGATATCAGAGAAACACAGAGATCAAAACAAAGTACCAATTTATCAAATAAATGTCTCATCTCAGTGTCCCCAAGCATGGATTTCCTTGGGTTTATAATGTTTGTGGTTTACGGGCTTCTTGAATCTGTATGTTTATGTTTTTTGCCAGATTTGGGGCATTTTCAGCCATTATTTCTTCAAAAAAAAATTTTTTGCAACCCACTCTCTCTTCTCCTTCTGAGATTCTATAACACAAGTGTTTTGTCCCACATATCCCTAAGGTTCCTTTTACTTTTCCAAGTATTTTTCTCCCCACTGTTCAGATTGGATAATTTCTAATGATCTACCTTCAAATGCACTGAATTTCCTTCATTTTCATTTGCTATTGAGTCCAACCAATGTATATTTTATTGTGGGTGTTGAATTTTTCTAGTGGCTCAGTGGTACTTCAAAATAAGGGTCTTCTTCCCTACCTCATCTACTGACATTTGCATTTTAGAGTTCTTAAGTAGCTGCTCTGTGCGTCCAGTCAGGTTTTGTAGCTACATGCAATGGGCGAGACAGGGGAAGAAGGGATGCTTAATCTGTCTTACTTGGAACCAGAAGATATCACTATCAGTAAAAAGCCCCTGAATTTCAACAGGTTATATCAGTCAAGGTTCTGGTAAAAAAATGGTGGCACATTAAAATTGGGTAAAAGGAGTAGAGATCACTTAAAGTACTATTGGCAAACATGGGAGTCATGTCGGGAAATCCCAAAGGATAGTGTGATATCTAGGGATTAATGACAGCTGAGTCATCTCCATCCACAAGACTGAAGGGAGAAGACAGGGAATTTCTAGAACCTGGGTACATAGAGGCTGTCACCTTCAGTTGAGGAATGAAATTAACTAGTGTCAATATTACAGGAGGAATAACTAGTCCAATCTCTTCCCATCACTCCCTCTGAGCTCCCTCCGGTACTCCCAATTGACTATACCCAACAGAAGCCAAAATATAGTTAATATAGGCAGGCCTCCCAGGATGGAGGTCAGGCAGGAGAGTGGAGGAGACTAGAGGGGCAAATGGAAAGTACCCAAGTGAGTGTGCTATGGCAGGCAAGAGAAAAGATGAAATTACATACAGTCTTTTCAGCAATTCACCCATTTATTCACTAGTATTTGTTGAAGGTACATGTTAGAGTTATGATTTGTACCATGGATCTAGGTTTAGCTTCCTAATTAAAAGTTAGATTATTCTACTGAGATTAATAGACACAGAACAAATCCATTTTGCCATTTGATCATGTTGCCAGGTTTGATTCTTCCAGAAAATAAACATAATAACATGAGGACAATGCTTCTTAAATGTTAATGTGCCTATGAATCACCTTGATCCTTTCCAAATGCAGATTCTGGTTCAGTGGGTCTGGGCGGGTCCTGGGTTTCTACATGTACAGGAAGCACCCAAGTGCAGCCCAGTGTTCAGGGATTACACTCTGAGTTGCAAGGTTATAGCGAACCGCCATTATTCTCCTTGGTTGCCCTTTGCTTCCACTCTTGCAGCAACAGTATCCTAATAAAAGTTTAGTACACTTAGAGATTTACTTACCTCTAAAAAGACATTTCAGAATTGCAGTGCAGCTATGCTGTGCTCGAAATTAAGCCGTAGAGAGTGCTTATATATTTCTAAATCACAGGACTAATATCAGAGATGGTACCAGGATGCAGGCCACAGTCCAGGGGCCCCTCCAGGAGGGCTTCAGGACAGCGATCCTATTGGGAGAGGGATTGGGCTCTTTAAAGCTGTACTGAGCTCCTGCTTAGAGCTGAACAGGTTCCCACCTAAGTTTGTGTCACTCTTTTCCTCCTAACCCTAATCTCACCTCTTCATCAGTGGGCTTGGTAAGACAGTCACCTGTGGTCAAGGTTCAAGGTCAGGAGTTCACAAGGTAGAGCCAAGACCAAGTCAGATCCACCTGGGGAGATTTTTAGAATGACTGACTCCCCCAACCGCCCCACCCACTACACACACACACACGCGCGCGCACACACACACATGCACGCACGCACGCACACACAGAAACAAGTGTACTGGCTTCATATTGGTTTTACTCACCTGGTAAAGTTAATTGGGTGACTTAAAGCCATTTGTCCCTAGAATATATTGTTTTCATGAGTAGGTAGCGAAAATAGTCTGTTACTTTCCACATCCAAAGGAGATCAGAAGATAGATGAATAAAATACAATCAAGTTGAAAAATAACCTTTTTATTTGACTGCAAGCAACATACCTTTCAAAATATTTCAGAGTCAAGCTAATTTGCAATTTTGTAAAATACACTTCAAACTAAACAATAGATATGTTGTTAGAAAGCAGAACCTAAGATAAATTAAATCACATTTTAAGGTTACTGGTAGAGTTCTTTAAAAGTCTTATGGTAGAGTCTTCTATAAAATGAATAATTACTTCCTTATATATTCCTGGTAGAAATAGAAATTAAATATAGGAAATAATTATTCATATAATGGTTTGCCATACATTGCATTGTTTTAAAGAAGGGGAGACTATGATTTCTCCAAAACCCTGTTGTCCAGTAAAGGGTAGACTTTTGGTTTTCAGCAGTGATGTGATGAAAAAGCTTGCTGCCGCAGAGGGAACAAGTTAGACAAGTCAGGGACTGGCACATCAGGTCCCTTGGGCTATCCTCATTCATGCTGCAATCTCCTCACATTCTTAGAATGGAGATAAACTTGTCCATCCAGACCAGTCATCAGTCCATTTCACCATAAGGTGCCCTAAGCACTGAAAAGAAGCCTGTCCTTAGCCCAAATGCCTGTCAATTCAATGAGAGCGTGGCTTAGGGGGAGCACTGAGCTGGGGGTGGGTCTCTCCAGATCCCTTTCCTGTCCTGTCACTAAACCAGCCCTCACTTTACCACCGTGATCTTCAGATCTGCAAACTGAGAGGGTAGAACAAGATGCTACTTTCCAGTGCGCCCAATTCTGTGATTCCACAAAAAGGTTTACAATAATCACAAATGTTCTCCAAGTAAACTTCCATTAAACCCCATCAATGATTTTTGGTTTTTGGTTTCTTTTTCCACAGACGAGACATGAAAGCTTTTGGTGTGCAGGTCTCTTGCATCGAACCAGGATTTTTCAAAACAGAATTATCAGATGTAATAAAGTCGGCTGAAAAAAAACTAGCCATTTGGAAGCATCTATCTCCAGATATCAAACAACAATATGGAGAAGGTTACATTGAAAAAAGTGAGTTTTGGGATAAACCCAGGGTTCTCGGTGATTCATTGTCCTCCGCAGCATGAAGGAGACTCAAATATAAATGAAAAAAATAAGGTTCTCATAATAATAGGGATCTTATATATGGATCAGATATTCCTATTAATTCCAGAATTATCTTTTGCTCCTCTGAGTGTTTAGTCAGTGCCAAGTTCTATACTAAACACTTTATAAATTATGTATATCATTTACTCCTCAGAAAACTATAGGAATAGCGAGCAGAGGCTTGGGAAGGTGCAATGTCCTACCCAAGGTAATACGGCTCTCCTGATCGTGCTGTGCTAGAGCCATGGTCTTCCCCTCTACACAAAACTCCTCTTTTCTGTAAACACCAATCAATCACTCAGCATTTATGGAGGTTACAAAATATCAAGACTCAGACTCTGACCCTTCATTAGCTTATAATCTAATTGACAACAAAAAGTAATCAAGTGAGACTGTAAAACAATGAGACCATGCAGCATGAAGAAAATTAATCTTTACTTCTTAGACATAGCCCAGCAGCCCAGAAGGGCGCTAGACGGTGTGGTCTCTATTTGCCCAAGGAATTCAGACTGGGGGAAAAAAATATTGGTTAAGAAGCCTGTATGGGGCAGGTCAATTGAATATTGCCTAAATAAATAAATAAATAGAATAAATAGAATAAAGCCTAAAAGACAAGATGGAATTATTTGCGTAAAACTTTCTGGGGAGGAATCCATGAGGAGTGGAAACAGAAGAAGTAACTTAAGTCCAGAATTGAGTCGGGGATGGGGAATAATAATAAAGATTAGACTATGATAACTAACATATAGTGAACATTTACAATGTACCTGTCACCATTGTAAGAGCTTTACATGAACTCTCTCATTTAAAATGCTTAAATAAAAAAATAAATAAGATGCCCCAATAAACTCACCTTAATTTTCTAGAAACTTGCCCAAAGCAGCAGAGCTGGTAAGTGGCAGCTCTAAATTTGAACCCAGGTAGCCTGATTACGACACTTATTCAAGGGCACCACACTAATGTCAACAGGCACTAGGGAGCTGGTAGAACTTCCTGTATCAGGGCTCCACCTCCAACTTCCTGGCCCTGTTAAAGTTGACTTGACATTCCTCAAACACTTACTGAGCTCCTGCTTAGAGCTGAACCTGAGCTGAACAGGTACCCACCTAAGTTTCTGTCACTCTTTTCCTCCTAACTCTAATCTCACCTCTTCATCAGTGGGCTTGGTAAGACAGTCACCTGTGGTCAAGGTTCAAGGTCAGGAGTTCACAAGGTGGAGCCAAGACCAAGTCAGATCCACCTGGGGAGATTTTTAGAATGACTGACTCCCCCAACCACCCCACCCACTACACACACACACACACACACACACGCAAACACACTGAAACAGAGAAACAGAGATGCAAACATATATATCAACTAGAACATCTGGTCTGACAAACTCCACAGTGTTCACATGTCACTATAGGTTTAAAAACCACTGCCATTAGCCCTGGCTGATGTGGCTCAGTGGATTGAGTGACAGCCATTGAACCAAAGGGTTGCTGGTTTGACTCTTAGTCAGGGCACATGCCTGGGTTGTGGGCCAGCTTGCCAGTGGGGGACATATGACAGGCAACCATGCATTGATGTTTCTCTCCCTCTCTATCTCTCCTACTTTCCCCTCTCTCTAAAAGTAAATAAATAAAATATTTTTTAATAAAATAAAAACCACTGTCATTAAATGCTGTTTTTTACTCTTAAATGTTGTTTTTAGAACCAACTCTGAAGGTTCTAAGTAGATTCAAGAAACAAAAAGCTCATTTAAAAGAGCTTTCTCCATTTGATATTAACTTTTATATTTTCTTTTTTTAAAAAGATTTTATTTCTTTTTTTTTTATAGAGAGAGGGGAAGGGAGGGAGAAAGAGGAGAGAATATCAGTGTGTGGTTGCCTCTTGAGTGCCCCTCATTGGAGACCTGGCCTGCTACCTAGGCATGTGCCCTGACTGGGAATCCAACCATCAACCCTTTGGTTCGCAGGCTGCCATTCAATCCATTGAGCTACACCAGCCAGGACTGACTTTGATACTTTCTAAATACCTATAAATATGTCATCAACTTCCATGTCAAAATAATTTTTGCATTGGCTGCTTGTTCAAATGTCCTGTCTCAGATGTATTGTACCAACTGGCTTTGAGCCCAATTTTACACTGGTTGTTCTTTTTTTAAAATTAATTAATTTATTTTTCCAAATACATTTGTCTCCGCCTTCCTCCCACCACTTTCCCCTGCCCTCCTCCCCCATCTCCCTCCCTCAATCCTTCCCCATTTTGGTTTTGTCCATGAGTCCTTTCTATATGTTCCTTGACTTGCCCCTTCCCTTCCTTTTCCCACACCCACCCTTCCCTCCTTACCTCTTGTCTCTGTTCGTTTCTTTTTTCTTTCAGTGTTGCTGGTCTTACTTTCCTTGCATCTTTGTTTTGTTAGTTAGGTTCTGCTTATAGGTGAGATCAAATGGTATTTGTCTTTCGCCCCCTAGCTTATTGTGCTTAGCATAATGCTTTCTAGTTCCATCCATGCTGTCGCGAAATGTAGTAGTTCTTTTTTCTTTCTGCTGCATAATATTCCATTGTGTAAATGTACCATAGTTTTTTGATCCACTCATTTACTGATGGGCATTTAGATTGCTTCCAACAGTTGGCTATTGTAAATTGTGCTGCTATGAACATTGGGGTGCATAGGTTCTTTTGAATTGGCGTTTTGGGATTCTTAGGGTATAGTCTCAGCAGGGGAATCACTGGATCAAAAGGCAGTTCCATTTTCAGCTTTTTGAAGAGATTCCACACTGCTTTCCACAATGGCTGCACCAGTCTGCATTCCCACCAACAAAGTACTAGTGTTCCCTTTTCTCCACAGCTTCACCAGCACCTTTTGTTTGTTGATCTGTTTATGATGGCCATTCCAACTGGTGTGATGCGGTATCTCTTTGTTCTTTTTAGAGGTTTTCCAAGTTGGGATTTAGAGATCAGCCAGACTCACTGCTCTGAAGTAGACCACAAATTTAAGTTCACCTTTCTTCATTTCGCAGGCTAGAGTAATAGGAGATTAATATAGCCACTAAGATTTAGTACATGACCTCATTTAGGCTCTTTGAACAAGTTTTGGCTACTGGGGTCTGAAGTTGAAAGGAAGATTTAAAATAATAGATTTCCCTTGAAAAGACACAACTTGAGTATGTTTTAAAAATATAGGAGTAATGCTCAAAGTCATCTCCAATCCCTGGATAAAATGCCTGCCTCATCAGCCCCAGCTAGTGTGACTCAGTGGATTGAGTACTGGCCTGTGAACCGAAAGGTCACTGGTTTGATTCCCAGTCAGGGCATGTGCCTGGGTTTCAGGCCAGATCCCCAGTTTAGGGAGTGCAAGAGGCAACACATGAGAGATATCAGCATGTGTTTCTCTCACATGCTGATATCTCTCTCCCTCTCTTTCTCTTTCCATTCCCCTCTCTTTAAAAGTAAATAAATTTAAAAGTCTTAAAAAAAAAAAAACCCTGCTTCTTCAAAAGTATCTTAGCTCATTACTCAAACATTTCATTTACCTGAGAACCAGGATATCTTTAACTTTCTGAGTCAGGGCTTTTTGGTGATGCTTCTCTCTTTATTGACTAGATTGGAGAGGCACAAGCACACCTGAACACCTACATTTCTCATCAACCTGGTACTCCCTTAGAATAGATTCAAAATCAAACCCGTAACATTCCAGGCTCAAGGGCCTAACAGACTTTATAAAGTATCTTTCCTGCACTGCTTTTAAGAAGTGCTTCTCAAAGTTTGGTCTCCGGACCAGTGTCATCAGCATCACCTGGAAACTTGAAAGAAATGCAAATTCTTAGGCCCCACTTTACACCTACTGGAGGAGGGAGCCAGCAATCTTTTAACTAGCCCTCTGGGAAATTCCACTGCCCACTCAAGTTTGAGAACCAGCATTTCTCCATCCTTTTCTGAGAAACAGAAATCCATCACCATGGGCCTCAATTATAATGGCAAATTAAAAATTCCCACATATGCATCTTCTTCTTTGTACCCTAACTTCCATTTATTCCTTTTCCCCTTCTGCTGAAGAGTAAAGAGATTTTTTTTTGTCTTTTTACAGGTCTGGACAAACTGAAGGTTACGAGGCTCTTTGTGAACTTGGACCTCTCCCTGGTGGTGGAGTGCATGGACCACGCTCTCACCAGTCTCTTCCCTAAGACCCGTTACACTGTTGGAAAAGATGCCAAAACTTTCTGGATACCTCTGTCTCACATGCCAGCAGTTTTGCAAGACTTTTTATTGTTGAAACAGAAAGTGAAGCTGGCTAATCCCAAGGCAGTATGACTCAGTTGACCACAAATGTCTGCCCCGGGCCGCAGGTTTGGCTAATACCAAGGACGCATTACCTTTTCGATCTCATTCCTTACCTAATCCAACCTGGACTCATTTACCTCATGCTTCTTTTGATTAATGAAGGAGTCCCACCCTGCCTGGCAATGTCTCAGAGTCCCTTTTCAAGCCTTCCTTGAAAAGAAGGGCAGGGATGATATATCATAAAGAAGGGCAAGCATGGTACCTGCCCAATATTTAGGTTTTGCCTGCTTGATATGATGTAAAGGAAATTGAAAGGTTTTCCTTTTGAAAATGATCTTCTCCACAGCTTACCCCATGCTCCACACCCCAATTCCTGAGTGTTAAATATTTGCCCCTTATCAAAATGTTCAGAGATGAGTAGAACACTTCCATAAGAAGATTAGACATGTTCTGTTCTTTTGCAAAGAATAAGTCTCTGAAGGACTGGAACTCAGTTCTGTAAGCTTGGATGGGGACTGGAGAAGGAAAGATAATGAAGCATTGTGGGACTGGTACTGTAAAATAAGGTGTAGCAGAAAAACACTGGGTAGGAGGGAAGAAAAAGCACTGAAGGACTGAAAAAAAAAAAGAAATGAGTATAAAAGAGGAGGTAGGGAGACTCCAGGACAATCCTGCCCATCCTAGAGGGAGCAAGGGGCATGAAGAGCCCCTTCAAGGCCACTGTGAACACTGATGCACACAAGCCTATCTGGTGGAAAAATGGTAACAACAGTGTATCAACCATCCCAAAAGGAGAAACATGTAGGGACTATTTATGTTTATTCTGGTGATTGTAAATATAACAGGACTAAAAATATCTGGGTCAACTTACACCTGAGATGGTTGAAAATCCTGTGTTTTGGGTGTCTCTGAAGCCCTATGAAGAGATAGAGCTAAATAAAAGACTCTTTAGCCTGTAGCTACAGTGTTTGCAGCTCTGCTCCTTGTTCGCGTTCATGGTTCCAGATTGGATTGACCCTGGACCCATATACCATCCAACGGAATAGTTCTCTAAAAAGATCCTTCCCCAGATTCCAGGACCCAGTACCACACATAAAGTTTCATTGAATGTTTGCATGGGGAAGCCTGAAATGTCAGAATTCAACATTTGTTGTGGAATCACATAGGATGAAAGAGCCAGAGAAATTATCTAGTGCACAAGCACACACACACGTATTGTGAAGAAAATATTTAAATCTGCAGCTTCAAACCAGGTCCATTTAAATATATCAGTAATTCTATTTATTTTAATTTGTCTTTCTGGGAACATCTGCTTATGAAGTAATTTCCTCCTTTCAAGTGTACGACATATTGATAACTTTGAAAAACCGTATTATCAATGGTGTCGGTCCACCTGAACATATACGTCATGACTTTGAGGGAAGATACACTCATCCTTTTTGCATGGAAATGAAGGAAATCACAGCAAGAATCAGGTAGAAGAACTCCCAGGCAAAGTTAGCTAAATTATTGTCACTACCTCTGTGAAGTCATCCACAGCTTGACCTCTGACCGTACAGACAGTTCATTCGTTCATCTCTGATTTCTTCTGGATACAGTTAACCACCTATGGGTTAGGTGACCCTCATCAACTTGTCCTTGGAGCTGAAGTCATCAGTGTTGTTTTCTGGAACTCCTCCTTACCTTGAATTCCCAGCTCTTGGCTTCATTTTAGCACTTTAAAAATGTCTGGCCTCCTGCTTCCTGACTTTCTAGGCCTTCAGGGCTGCCATAGAATCTGCAGGAACCTCCTTTGCTGAACTTCAACCATTCCAGTTCTGTTTGGGGACCTTCCTAATGGTGTTATTTCCTTTTATTTTTTCCCAGACCTGTGTTCTTTGCTCATCCCACCCAGTAACTATAATAAGTAACCTCCTGTTTCATCTAACCAAATAAAAACTCTATTTAAATGAAATCTTCCAAATACAGTAGCACCTCAAAATTAAACCAAATATGCTCACCCAACAAATTTTAAAGCTTTTAAAATTAAATGAAAAGGTGGGGTGTTTGGATTATAAAGGCATAAGCCTCAGAAAAAGCCTTTTCTTGTCTTGATAATAGCAATTCTAACAGGGGTAAGTGAAACCTCATTGTGGTTTTGATTTGCATCAGTTTATGATTAGTAATGAGTGCTGTTAAGAATCTGGTCGTATGTCTGTTGACCACTTGTATATCTTCTTTGAGGAAATGTCTACTCAGGTCTCTTGCCCATTTTTTAAATTGGGTCATTTGGTTTTTTTGCTATTGAATTAAAGGAGTTCCTCATATATTTTGGATAGTAGGTATGTTTTTTAGACATGGGGAGATGAAGCCACAGAGAGGTGAACAATTTGCCAAAGGTGATACTGCTAATAAGCAGGGGTCCGGGTTCAAACCCAGGCAGTCTGATGTCAGCGTGCTTAGAACTATTTTGTGGTACTCTATAGAAACCAAGTCTTACAGAGTACTTTTCTAAACTTCAATAGTGGGTCTATAAAAGCAAAATCTTTATTAAATTAATCTAACATGTGTCTCACCTAGGCAATAATAATTAAGCATCAGGGTGATACATAATTTTGAGCATATATAATTTCATATTTTTTGTTTTTCTATATTCAATTTTTAAATTTTTCTCACTTATGATACAATAACAAAAGCACTTATACATCATTGCTCAAGTCCTTGAAGTTTTCTAACTAGATTTCTAGACTTTCCTTCTGTCTTTTTTCTTTTGTTGTTGTTGATGTTGTTGATTTTATTTATTTGCTGTTAATATGGTTGTTAGTTGTTTCAGGAATTTATATGTGATTACTTGTTGCTAATCTCAATAAAGCCCTTAGATCATCTGTCATGACCCAAGTCCAACTCTTTGAATCTTTTAACTTTCAAGATCAGAGAAAGAAAAAACGACAGGAGACCACAATCCTATGAATGCTGTTTCCCTGTAGTTGTTTTCAAAGTAGAGAAGTGATGCTGTAAGCACCCCTGGGAGGTCTTGGGCAAACTGTCCCAGTGACTGTGGCCCACCAGCCCCAGAAACACTAACAACAGAAATGAGGGAACCTCGGCTGTACCCCGATCAGAGCCTCCTAGTGCTAATGTTTTGCAATTGAAGACAATGCTGGTAGGTAGTTGGACATTCTGACTTGGCTGGAAGTGGACATGCAGCCTAGTATATCTCACAGAGATGTTTTTCAATGACAACATTTCCAGTGTGACAAGTTTCTGCTCCAATATCACTGAAGAATGGGAAGGTCACTGCCTTCTACTTGATTAGCTCTGCTTAATAGAATGTTCTTCAATTATTTTTAAGCCAAAATCTGTCTGTGGAAAAGAGAGGGGAAAGAAGGGGGTGCTGTTTCTGCAAACATCATGATAATAATAGTTCATGTTCACTGAACACTTAAAATGAGCTAGGGCCCTCCCAGAGAACTGTTCGTGCATTTTCTCATGCAGTCGCTGCAACATTTACACAGCAGGTACTTTTATTGTCCCATTTTACAAATGAGAAGCCTTGCATCCAAGATTCTTTCAACTCTGATAATCTCTGATTCCTAAGTTCTCCCTTGATACAATGCAAGTTCTAGGAAGGAAGGAAAGAAGGAAGGAAGGAAGGAGAGAAAGAGAGAAAAGAGAAAAAAAATAGTGAGTTTTAAAACCCAAATTGTTTTCTTAAAGTTCATTCTGGGACTGTGGATCTATTCTAAATAAGTAAATTAATTAATTTAAAAGAAAAAAGAAAAAGAAAACGAAAAGCTCTAGAATTCTGAGCGTTGAAAGCACAAGACAAGCCTCCTGGCCCATGACCCCTAGCCACCTTCTCTGCGCTCTTGGACCCTTGAGAGAAATGACGACAAGGATATGCAGGCACTTCTCAGTTCCCTACTCACTTTCTGTGCCCTGCTGCTAAGCCTTCTAAGAAATAGGACTTTTCTTCATGAGTATAAATGCAAACAGGTACCTTCACACTGTATAAATTCCAATGTACATCCTGAATGAAATCAATGAAAGGGCCTGGACAGGAAACTCTCTAAGCGCTCAAGGCTTCCTTGGCACCCCTGCCTCCCCCGGCCATTTCACCTCCAAAGTGGGCTGGGATCTGACTTGAACCCTGTCCTTGAGAGGGGCACTTTTATCATTGCTTTAAATGAAGACACAGGGGCAGGTTTGTAAACCCACCAGGGGAATAGATGAGAAGACAGAATCTGGGAGTTCTAACCATGGATTAACAACATGAAATGATACACAGGAAGACCCAGGGCTTTGCTGTGGTTCCCCAAAAAAGCAAGCGTGGGATTCAGAGCCACATAATGGAAATGCCTGAGGCATTTTGTGCAACAGCCAGTGAAAGTATGATGCAATGGTATGATGTAACAGCCTACCCCCAACCCTGTCCCTGCTAGGAGAAGAAAAGAAAGTAAATGATTCTTTGATCTTGGTTTAAATTTTAAGCTAACAACATATGGAGCAAGGCTGGCGATACTTATGTGTTCTTGCAGCTGCTCAGAGCACTGGTAAAATGCCGTGGCCGCTGGGAACCCCACTCTCATATAGCCACAGACATTCCGGACAGGGTGGCCAGGACACCAGAGCTCTCTGAAGCCCTGTTAGCAGGAATAGTCTCCGTGAAGACTCTGGAGTCGTTTACTTGGAAGAAGAGCCTGATGGGAGACAGGGCTTGAAGGGGCCTCCCTATGAAGAAGGAATTCAACTCATTCAAGTAGTAGAGAAGGGTTGGGCCAGAGTCATTGGATGGAGGTTACATAGAGTTCAAGTTCAGAACCATTTAAGGACAAGTTCTTTTGCCAGTAAGAACTTGACTCAATGGCAGGCCCAGCTGGTGGGTATGCACAGGAACCGTAGCCCTTGGGGTAGAGATACTGGGAAGGGATTCAAGCAACAGGGGGTCGGGGTGGCTGACTTGAGTGACATTTGAAGATTCTCCCAAACCTAAGATTCTATTATTGGGGCAGGAAGCTCTCCCCAAGGATGGCATGTACCAGTCTACAGATGGCTAAGAACCTCCAGCCTCTAAAGCCTGGGAGAAATAAGCCA